AGATTAAAAAAAAAAGAGAGAGAACTGAATCCCAAAAGTTGTCCCCTGACCTCCACACACATGCAGCACAAAATTTATAAATGTGATTTAAAAGGTTTTTTTTTTAATCTTTTATGTATATGTGTATTGCCTGCATGTAGGTAAGTGCACCCATGTTGTATAATGCCCGAGGAGGTCAGAAGAGGCTGTTGGATAGTTGTTAGCTGCCATGTGGGTGCTGGGATTCGAACCCAGGTCTTCTGCAAGATCAACCAGTGTTCTTAACCACTGAGCCATCTCTTCAGGCCCAGATGTAAAGTTTTTTAAGGGGATGGAGAGATGGCTCAGCAGTCAAGAGCACTGGCTGCTCTTGTACAGGACTTGGAGGCAGAGGCAGGCAGATATCTGTGAGTTCAAGGCCAGTCTGGTCTACATAGTAAGTTTTAGGTCAGCCAGAGCTACATAGTTAGACCCTGTCTCAAAAAACAAAAACAAACAAACAACAAACCAAAATAAAAGAGCAACAGAGAAACATAATTTTGACCTTTGACCTCCACACAGGCACACTTCCATGTGCACACATACCTGCACACACATACACCACAGGCATCGCAAAATAATGATGAGGAGGAGGAGGAAGAGGAGAAACTTCACTTGATGAGATTTGCAGTTTTACAGTGTCTTGTCTAAGGACACCTTTGGTCCACATGGCTTGGGTAGCCGGAAGCCCCAGCCCTACTGGCTGTAGGCCAGGACAGAGTATGAGGCAATCAGAGAAGTCTGATATGCATGGAACAAATTGTGGATATGGACGATGCTTTTGTGTCCAGTTTGGCTGACCAATGACTGATAAAACTACTCAAGCTGGGTGGGATATGATGAGGGAGGGAAAATCCCAGTAGATTCTGTAAAAAATAAGCATTGGGACTGGAGAAATGGCTCAGCAGTTAAGAGCACTGGCTGCTCTTGCAGAGAACCCCAGTTCGATTTCCAGCACCCACATGGTGGCTAACCTAATAACTGTCCAAAACTCCAGTTTCAGGGGATCTCATGCCCTCTTCTGGCCTCCACAGGCCTAGGACAACATGGTACACTTACATTCATTCAGGTAAAACACTCATATACGTTAGAAAAAAAAAAAACAACCCTAGTATTGGAGGCTGAAATAATGAAAGAAGTTTCTACTACTCCTGATCACAGTAGAGTTAGAATTTGGAATTCATGGGTTATCTACATAGAAATCACTTTAAAAAAATATTTTATTTATTATTTTTATTTTATGTGTATGCATGTGTTGCCGAATGCTCTGGATCACAGTGCAGCTCCTGAGCCTGCCTGTGTCCCTGGCCAGTGGGTCTCAATAAAGCAGCTAAGTTTTCTTGAGTCTCAGTGTCTGAGTGGTCAATTCAGGGAATTCTTCGGACCCTGAACATTTTGGGGGCTCATCGGGTATTCCCTAAAAGACCCCCAGTCTGTTTTCCAACAGTGTTCTTAACTGCTGAGCCATCTCTCCAGCCCCAGAAATCACTTTAAAAAATATTTCATTATTTTTTTATGTGTTTGAGTGTATTACCTGCATAATCATAAGTGCATCTGTGTTGTGCAATGCCTGTGGAGACCAGAAAAGAATGTGTGATCCTCTGGAATTAGAGTTACAGATTGTTACCAGAGTTACTGGTTGTTAGCTGTCATATGGGTGCTGGGAGTTGAATCTGGGTCCTCTGTAAGAGCAGCCAGTGCTCTTAACTGTTGAGCCATCTCTCCAGTCCCAGGAATCACTCTTTAGAGGAACAAACAGAATCCAGATACTTTACAATAGTGTCACTCCATCATACTTAACCCCTAACATACAACATCCAGACATAAAACCACTACATATGCAACAAAAAGCATAATCTACACCCGGGAGAGATAGTAGTCAATAGAAATTGACTCTAGAATGTTGTTCCACTAGCATATAAAAACTTTTTAAAAAATTTCATTTATTATTTTCCTTTTACATGTATGAGTGTATTGCCTGCATGTATGCAAGTACACCTGTGTTGTACAATACCCGTGGAGGTCAGAGAGGGCATTGGACTCCCCTGGAACTGGAGTTGTGGACAATTGTTAGCCACCATGTGGGTGCTGGGAATTGAACCTGGGTCCTCTGCAAGAGCAACAAGTGCTCTTAACCACAGAGGCATTTCTCCAGTTCCCAGCATATAAAAACTTTAAAGCAGGCATTACTTCTTAGTTATTTAAAATTTATTTACTTTTATTATATGTGTATGAGTGTTTGCCTGCATCTATGTAAGTGTACCACATGCATGCAATGCCAGAGGAGGCCCAAAGAGGGCATTGGATTTCCTGGAACTGAAGTTACCAACTGTTATGGGCCACCTTTTGGGTGCTGGGAACTGAACCTGGGTCCTCTGCAAGAGCAGCCAATATTCTTAATAACTGAGCCATCTCTCCAGCCCATATTTGTTTATTTTTATGTCATGTATATAAGTGTTTTGTTTGCATGTATGTAAGTGCACCCATGTGTGAAATGCCCACAGAAGCCAGAAGAGGGTGTCAGATCTCCTAGAACTAGAGTTACAGACAATTGTTAGCTGCCATGTAGATGCCGCTTAACTAAATCCAGGTCCTGTGCTAGAGCAGCCAGTGCTCTTAACCACTGAGCCATCTCTCCAGCCCCCAAAAGTATGCATTATAAATATA